TACTAAGTGTACTCTAGATAGCAAGCGATATGACTAACGTCAAGCCTCAGCCTTCGCATAAGAACAACGAAATTGTGGCTTTGGGTAATACGATTAACATCGGGAGCCGAGATTATGCGAGAATAAAAGAATCAACAAAAGCTACGAATATAGGAGAAAGGTTTTGCGTCTAATTGCTTGCCCTTATCTAGTATATTGCAAAGTCTTTGAAGAAAATGTGCACTGGAAAAATATACGTGGATGTTTTTGATAACTCAAAGTTTATGTTTGTTAGAAAGAGTAAGAAATCTCTAATGTTTAGTATGAAACAAGCCTCAATTTGTTTATCAATTTTCACTTTATAACAAATTGTGCTTAATCGAAGTTGCCTACGAAATGAAAAATAAGAACAACTTGGGAACAATTTAGACCACGTTTCATGACACCTTTCATCCAATCAGTCTTTTATTCCAACAAAATAAGGACATTTCAAAACCTACCGTCTAAAGCAGCTTCGGGCGTTTGCTTATCAAACCATCTTTTGAAAAATTCACGATGCAAAAGCATTATGGTTGGAAGTAAATGTTGGGGCAGCGCCAAGCGGTCCTGCTTGACTAAAGGGATTGGGCTTGTTTCCGAATGTCTACCACAAAATTAAAAATCAAACATTCCTACTTTCATACTGACTTTGGAAAAAGAAATTTGGGAAGAATTTGCTAAAATTCGTAGCATTCATTCGCAAACATCGATGTTAAAATTCGTACAAGTGAGATTAAAATGAAATGGTTGTTCTAAAACCATAAGCGCGAACCGATTAAACCTTTTCACAAATAATATTGTCATGTTTTAGCACAATTCAAGGTTTTATGTTTCTGCTTTAGATTTGGCGACATAAAAATCATCTATATAATCTCTCTTATATAAAGAATGTCATACGGTACACCTAGACAGCATATTTTGTAGTGCTGCGATTTCAAGACGTGTATTCCACAGCGCCTGCTTTCCATAATCAATTTCATCCGTTTTTGCATTCAGCTCAACAACTGTATCACAAGAGAATAGAAAAACTGTTTCAGTAATTACTTTGTTACAGCAATGTTCCAACAAATCGTTGTCATTTTCGCTGTTTTGCTCACATCGTTCGCTTACCCAGCTGAAGAGGATGAAATCAAGAAGCTGGAGATCCTCGATGGTAAAGAACCAATCATTCCTTTCTTTTCATTTTCAAGACTGCTGCATTTAAGAGATGACACCAAAGGACGTAAAGGAGGTAAAGGACACTCTTACTGATTCTGAATTGGATGTTATGAAAAATCTAAATGAAAGCAAGTATAAAACTGATGATGAGGTTCGTCCTTCTACCTCTTATAACTCACTTTCATTCAAAGCATTATAGCTTTTCGCTGCTATCAAGCAGAAAGCACCAGGCCTTGCTGCAAAACTAGTTAAAATGAGAGACCAAATCAAAAAGAGGATCGACCTCCTTAAACCTGAAGCCAAAGCTTTTATTGATGAAGTATGTATGTCTTACTAGCTTACGTCCAGTTCTTGTTTATTTCATTTAGATTTTCATGAAACCAAGAAAAGGAAAGAAACTGGAGGGAGAGATATCAAGAAAGGAGCTCATCAAGTTTCTTAGCAAGGATGCGCTTGACACAATGAATAAGTACAAAAAACTGTCTAAGGAAGCTAAATCCGACATTCGCAAGCAGTTTCCAAAATTCGCCAGAGCTCTCGAGAGTAAGTTATCGTTATGCTATACCATTAGGTCATAAAG